GTTTCTGATGACCAAATTCGCTCAATGGCGTTTTGAAAATCCGGGATCCAGTCGGTGAATACAGTTCCGATACGGCTTATGTTACCGTTCGCAACCGATAAGACAGCGGAACGATGGCTCAGTAGTAGAGCGTTTGCATCAATACCGTTCGATGACCGGTTAACGCGTGTCTGTGTCTCGGGCTCGATAAACTTGAGGTGGTGTAGACGTGGATGACCGACTAAATGGCCATCCCAGTCCCCTTGTATTTGTAGGTGTTCCCTCTCTGCATATGTTGGTTTGTCTTTTATTGAAGTGATGGTAGATTGCCCTGCTCGCCGTAAGAAGCCCCGAACAATGGTTAGAAAAGTCGTCTACCTACCCCATTCTTTCGCTTTTTGACGCACCCAGTTTCGCCTTTTGTAGAACTAGTTATATTTTTTCCTTGTCTATCTGTGTGCATCATTCGTAACAAACTATCGATAGATTTTATTCGATATCTACTATCTAAGTGCACCTTATTTTATAGTCCAAGGATCCTCAATTGCGTCAAAAGGTTGAACTCTTGACCTACCGAGCTTATATAGCACAACGAAAGTACAATGTCGTTATGAATGAGATAACGGAAAATCATGAAGTGTTAAGTTACAGGTTGGTTCGTCTTCTTGCCGGACTGCAATCTGGCACCGTTTCCAAGTAAGAACGTATTTGCTTTTTCCAATGGTTTAAATTTCTAGAGAAAAGGTACTCGAGGGTTTATCTTCAAACTTAACGGGTGATTTACCTGCAAGCGATGACACCTGCCTCATTATTGCGGCTACCATCTATATGTACCTTGTTGTAAGTTCGCGTATTATAGGATATTGATTTATTTATTAAGATGCCAGAGAAGGCCCTTCGTTTTCTCCACCAGGGATCTACTCTTTACTGGTAAGTCTTCGTTTTTAAAAAGTTGCATTAGTCTTCCTTTTGTTATTTGTATTTTTTTGATGTTAATTTTCTTGTTTGTGACTACTGTTCTTTGTTTCTTGCCTCGAGATTGTTGTTCTGATTAGGAGCGCAGATAAAGTGCAAGAATAACCGCGGCAAGACTTATCAGTTTCTCAGTTTCCCGTCCATTAATTATGCTCTTTGCCATCTCCGCTCTGCAGTTTAGTTCTCGAGTTTATCGCTAGATGAGACAACCTTGAAAATGTAATCTCATTAACTATTTGGGTTCCTCCTGTACTCAGACGTCTTAAAAATCTGCAGGAAAATGCTAACTTACAGCAGTAGGTTATGGTATCTGCGGGATCTGACACGTTTCCTGACTATATATGTAGTGGAAATGAATGACCTGCGGTCCGACTGCTCAGTCGGGGAAAACCTTGCGTGCCGAATACGGGTTGAAACTGAAGGTTACCGACTACCCTTGC